GCAAGTTCAAACCCAGCCCTGGCCAAAAAAGAAAAAAGAATTGGTGTAACTTTGGGGACTTGTCTTTATTTTGCAGTCAGAAAATGAACGAAATTACCACATTTTCTATCAGCTTTGTGCATCTGCCGAGCAGTCGGAATTTAAGCATCTCAAATTGGGTACGTGATGGGTGGTGTGTGCTAGGGTCTCTCTTCTCTGTAGGGGTTTAAATTCTAGGTTAATTTCTTTTTATTATAGTAACACAACTTGAAAAAAATTATTTTGTCCAAAGATATAAGATCCTTGGGTTTCAAGGGTGGCATTACTCATTTAAGCAAGGAAATGGTTTGGGGCTGGGGGCGGGTGGGGTGGGAGACTCTTCAGTTCTGGGGTTGTTTTCAGAGCACATGGGGTTATTTGTGGTCCATCCTAATAAGGCCTCCTGACAACTGGAACTTACTGCTGTAAGTCCCCAAACTTTCCTTTTTAGGAAACAGATAGTTGTTTTTCTAACATTTCCGTGTCTTTTTAAACAAAGCACCTCTGTTATGATATTTGAACTTCCTTGATGACTCAGGGTCATTCATTATTTGTAGTCATGACTAATTACATTTCAGGGACAGCTGACATGTAGAGCTATTTGTCCTTACACACTAACAGCCCCAAACCCTATATTGTCAGGGCTGTCCCGTCATAGTCATTTATGCCATGTTGGTAGATGAGAATTATCAGAGGTAACTTCTACCTTGTTGGAGTTGAACTTATACTCTAATTTTGGAGAAGTGCTTGTACTCTTGGAATCTAAGTTTCTGTATTTCACATGAAGATACTACGGTATCTATGGGTCGTCTGCCAAGCAGACTGTGAATAGCAAATGTGTATAAGAGCTTTCTGAAGAGTCCTCTACTATTTAAAAATTAACAGTGTATATATCATCATTATCTTGATTGTGGTAAGATTATGTATATGTCAAAATTCATCAAATTGTATATCTTCAATTAAAAAAAAATTTTTTGAGATAGGATCTCAGTCTGTTAACTTGATTAGAGTGGCATCATCATAGCTCACTGCAACCTCAAGCTCCTGGGCTTAAGTGGTCATTCTGCCTCAGCCGTTTGAGTAGCTGGGACTACAGACAAGTAGGTGCCACCAGGCCTGGCCTTTTTTGCAAAGACGAGGTCTTGCTGTGTTGCCCAGGCTGATTTTAAACTTTTGGCCTTGAGCAAACCTCCCACCTCGGCTTCCCAAAGTGCTGTGATTACAGGTGTGAGCCATGGAACCTGGACCTCAAATTGTACAGCTTAAGCGTGTGAGGTTCATTGTACATCCAATAAACCTCAATAAAGTTGTATGACAGGCTCAGCGGCTGTAGCACGGCGCCAGCCACATACACCAAGGCTAACGGGTTCGAACCCAGCCCGGGCCAGCTGGGCAACAATGACAACTGCAACAGAAAAATGGCCGGGCATTGTGGTAGGCACATGTGATTCCAGCTACTTGGGAGGCTGAGGCAAGAGAATCACTTAAGTCCAGGAGTTCGAGGTTGCTATGAGCTCTGACACCATGGCACTCTACCAAGGGTAACATAGTGAGACACTGCCTAAAAAAAAAAAAAAGAAAAGAAAAAAAACAGGTAGTGCCTGTGGCTCAAAGGAGTAGGGCGCTGGCCCCATATGCCGGAGATGGTGGGTTCAAACCTGGCCCTGGCTTAAAAAAACTGCAAAAAAAAAGTTGTATGACAATGTTAGGTGCAGGAATAAAACCCAGGAGCTTTTGAGTTAGGTTTGCATTTAATTTCTTATCCTACCACCAGCGGTGGAACCTTGAGCAAGTCATTTCACTTTTCTGAACCCCAGCTCCTGCATCTTTACCATAGAATTCCAAAGAATAGAGAAAATAATGTATGTAAGGTGTTTGGCATAGCTCACTGAGTGTGAACGTCCCTTCTTCTGATAAACATGTATGTCCAAGTTTCTGGGTTACAGATCTAACTAATCTTTCTTTTGGATTTTAGGGAGTGCAGAAGAATTTAACTATACAAGAATGGGAGGCAATACTGTCATTGAGGGTGTGAATGACCGAGCCGACATGGTAGAGACTCAGAAGACCTTCACACTACTGGGTAAGTGCAAATGTCCTATTCAAGGGTATGTCTGTTTGTTCTTTAAAATAAAAAGAGACTGGGCACTAGGACTCTGGGAGGCTGAGATGGGTGGATTGCCTGAGCACAGGAGTTCGAGACCAACCTGAGTAAGAGTGAGATCCTGTCTCTACTAAAATAGAAAAACTATCCCAGCATTGTGGTGGGTGCCTGTAGTCCCAGCTACTTGGGAGGCTGAGACAAGGGGATCACTTGAGCCCAAGAGTTCGGGGTTGGGCTCGGCGCCTATAGCTCAACTGACTAAGGCGCCAGCCACGTACACCCAAGGTGGCGGGTTCGAATCCCCAGCCCAGACCCGCCAAACAACAATGACGGCTGCAACCAAAAAATAGCCAGGCATTGTGGCGGGCGCCTGTGGTCCCAGCTACTTGGGAGGCTGAGGCAGGAGACTCGCTTGAGCCCAGGAGTTGGAGGTTGCTGTGAGCTGTGATGCCATGGCACTCTAGCCAGGGGGACAGCTTGAGGCTCTGTCTCAAAAAAAAAAAAAAGAGTTCGGGGTTGGTGTGAGCTATGATGCCACAGCACTCTACCCAGGGAAACAGAGTGAGACTCTGTCTCAAAAAAAAGAAAAATTAAAAATAGAAGAGGCTGGGCACAGTGGCTCGCACCTATAGCCCCAGCACTTTGGAGGGCTAAGATGGGAGAATTGCTTGGATTGCTTGAGGACAGGAATTCAAGATTAGTCTGGGCAACATAGTAAGACCTCATCTTTACAAAATAAAACATAAAAAAAAAGAAAGAGAAGAAAAGGCAGGGATTCCCAGCATGCCTGTGTCCTAAGACTCTTGGTAAATCCTACTTTTAGGACGAGCCAGCAGAACATATTTGGAGATTAAGTAGCCAAGACTGCTTTTCTCTTACAAAGCTAGAAATGAGCATGTTTTCCCCTCGGGCTTGAGAGGTGTGGGCTGTAAGCTGCATGGATCCTTGACACTCTCTTGGGCTAACTACAAAAAGCCTGGAGAAGCCAAGGTTCATCTCAGTTCAGAACTGTGGTGTCAACCCTTCTTGGCCTTCCTGGGTATCTTGATAATGATAACATAATAGCAAACGCTTACCTGGAGCTTACAGAGCACGGCACCAGTGCTTTTTATTATCTGTATTAACTTATTCAAACCCTACAACCACCCTGTGAAGTTGGAGCTGGTAGGCCCTCCCATCTTACCATAGGGAAACGGAGGCAGAGAGGGGATAAATAATTGACCCAAGAGAAGGTGATTAATGTGAAGCAGCCCTGGGTTTTGCACTGTGGGGGTCTCCAAACATCTCATTTGTGTAGAGAACACCCAATCTTCCACTGCTCAGACACTGACGTGGGTGGAGCCACATCTCTCAGAAGAGCCAATTGTTCCCAGTCTTTCTCCACCTGACTCTTCCCATAGGCAGCTCAGGTTTGGAAAGGCTGTCAACCAGGTGGCGTTGATAAAAGTCACCATTCACTTCTCATTTTTGTATTATCTAGATGTCCACATGTGACTGCCGGTCAAAGCTTCTGAACAGTGTGAAACAGTAGGCTATTTCTACATCTTACAGAAATATCCCGCTGCTATTTGTTTTTATTGTTGTGGCCTGGTTGGCGATATTTGGATGTTAAAGGCAAAGAATTTGAGGATAAATGTATCAAAGTAATAAGTAAGAGGCCGACTACTGGAAAATGGTGAATGAAAACAAGATAGTTTCCTAAGCAAAATTACCACTAGATTCTGTTTCCCTCTAAAAAGCTTTGCTAGGCACAGTGGCAGGAGCCTGTAGTCCCAGATACTGGGGTAAGGCATGCAGTTGAGATAGGAGGATCACTTGAGCCCAGGAATTTGAGGCCAGCCTTGGCCACATAGTGAGACCCCATCTCTAAAACAATTTTTAAAAATTTGTTTTATTTATTTATTATAAAATGTTTAACAAGATAAATAGGGTGATGCTTATAGCTCAGTAGGTAGGGTGCCGGCCCCATACACCAAGGCTGGTGTGTTCGAACTCAGCTCAGGCCTGCTAAACAACAATGACAACTGCAACAATAACAAAAAAATAGCCAGGCATTGTGGCAGGCGCCTGTTGTCCTGGCTGCTTAGGAGGCTGAGGCAAGAGAATTGTTTAAGCCCAAGAGTTTGAGGTTACTGTGAGCTGTGACACTATGGTACTCTACTGAGGATGACATAGAAAGACTCTGTCTCAAAATAATAAGATAAATACTTTTTAACATTGTCTGATGTTATTTTCTAATGCTGTTAACATTTTCTTAAAACAATTATAGTTATGATTTTGGTCTCCCCCCCCCAACTATTACTTTATTAATATCACTATGCTTAAGTGACATGGAAAAAAGACCACCAAGAGGTTCTGCCCATTTCAGAAAACGTTTCCGATCAATACCAATTATGTAGTGGCAAATAACTAGGTATGGTGACATCTTTGGGTTGAGACTGATAAGGAAGAATGGCCTCTGGTGCTGTGGTTCATGTCCTATGAGAAAATGGCACGCTGGCCAGCGAGAGCCAGGCTGATGCTGGGCCTTTAGTGCTGGGAGTGGACTTGGATCTGTTCTCTGAAGCTGAAGCTAGCAAATCAGGTAAAATAACTGGGTTAAAAAAAAAAGTTTTGAAATGAAGCCCAAGTAAGTTTAGAAACCATGCTCTTGACATATTTTCCTTTCAAAATTTATATAAAGCACACTTTTCACTCTTAATAGCCCAGATTTTTTCCCCTTCCATAGCTAGTTCACCATATAGCTGCATATAGACTTTTCTCAAGATGTATACATAGGGAAAAAAATTAACAGCATCTGCATAATATTCTCTCTACACACTGCTGTTGGATGGAAAATACAAAATTTTTTTAAAGAAAAAAGGAAAGAAAGGGTCCATTCCTGCAATCCCACCTCTAGTGAGGCATCTACCCAGAAGAAAAAAAAAATAATTTTCTCATAAGGGCATTTGCACTAGATTGTTTATCACAGTTCAATTTACAATTGCCAGAATGTGGAAGCAACCTAAAAGCTCATCAACTCAGGAATGGATTAATAAATTATGGTATATGCATACCGCAGAATACTATTCAGCCATAAAAAAGATGACTTCATATCTTTCGTAATATCGTGGATGGAGTTGAAATAGCTTCTTCTTTGTAAAGTATCAAAAAAATGGAAAAGCAATTATCCAATGTGCTCAATACTAACATAAAGCCCGTAGACAATCTAATACATGCTCCTGTAGGAGAAAAACTCAATTCAATTCAACTTGGGGGGAGGGAAGGAGGGTTGGGGTGCTCTGATGTGGGGGTGTTTGGCACACCTTTTGAGTGTGGGGCATAACCACAAGAGGGAGTCTACCTAACAAAATCAAATATTTTGACCTGGTTGTTTGTACCCTCACTTTAATAAGAAATAAATTTACTTTTCAATTAGGAAAAAGAAAAAGGTCTATCTTAGATTCTCCCAAGCTCTTTTTCTGCAGTGTATGAATCTGACTCCGATGCTAAGGCAACAGTGTATATAAGTAGATTTTTGTTTTCAGTGGAAGAGACCTGGGAAAAGATGGGTTTCTCTCTTTTTCTTCAAGAGTTGTCAGATGGTACATGCCCTCACTTTCTCCAACTACAGTACGTTCCAAAATCACATGGCCTTCCTTATAGCAGGGACCGCCTTCAGCAGCTAATTTATAGATCCATCCCAGTTCGCCACTGCCGTTTTTATAGCTCATGTCTTAACTATGTGGCAGCCAGTGAGCATGACCTGACTTTGAACTTTACTGGACTGCAGGTTAACTGCCTTATTAAAAAGAAATACTCTGGACTCGGTGCCTGTGGCTCAAGTGGCTAAGGCGCCAGCCATATACACCTAAGGTGGCGGGTTCTAATCCAGCCTGGGCCTGCCAAAATAACAATGACGGCTGCAACCAAAAAATAACCAGGCATTGTGGCCGGCGCCTGTGGTCCCAGCTACTTGGGAGGCTGAGGCAGGAGACTC